TGTATGCACACAGTCTTTCCTCTGAACTTAAGGGAAAGAGAAAAGCCCTGCTTCTGGAGCATGCAAATAGGAGGACAGGCAGTATGGACATTCCCAGTCATGGCCCACCAGCAGCAGAGTAAGGGAGGGACTTGGGCAGGGAGTGAGTATGCTGTGAATCTTTGTGGCCTTCTTTTCTCCTGCCAGGTTTTCCTGCTCCCTCTTTATATTTTGAAAAAGCAAATGTTATAGTTCCATAAACTGTTTCACAGTGGTCTTCACTGCAGACTCAGTGGTACTGGTCACACTGGAAAGGGTGCCTGAGACAAAAGCAGGACATCCTTCAGGTAGCCAGAAAGCATGAGCCCAGGGGTTGTGAGTTCTCCTCATCATATGGCTTCAGGCACCAGATTTCCAGGATTTTCCCACGATCCCAAAAAGACGAGGGACCCAGAATCCCATTGGTCTGGTACCTCCTGGCAACAGTCAAGGAGAAATCGGGGCTTTGAAACTCAGAGGACACATTCCTACATATCACCAGGCAGCCTCAGGTGAAGGAATTCCATCTGGACAAGAATCAGAAGTGGGTTAGTAGGGGGAAGCAGGGTGGGCAGACATCCTATACACTTTGGCTCAGCTGGAGTAGGTTTTATAGTATTGAAACACTTTAGTACTGAATGGAAAACAGTGGTCCCTGCAAGCCTCCGAAGGCCCTACACTGTTCCAGCCATGTAGTATTTCTCACCCTAGAACTCCCCACAATCCATAACTCCAGGCTTACCCCTGGCCATGGTGGGAGGCCTCAGGCACCCTGTTCTAGCAATAAAATGGAGTCCGTTCTGATTGGTTGGTTGCCATGACAACTGTTAACTATTTTTAAAATCACTTCTGCTGAGATATCACGAGATGTTAAAACTAGGGTGATTAGTTTTCATCACCTACAAAGGCAGGAATCACTGAGAGTTTACGTCCACCTAAACAGCTCTCTCTGATGCCAAACATGCTGCAAGTTTCGAATCCTCTACCTCTTTTCTTCCTTTCCTTTTACTGTGGTAAGTATATATATATATACAGAAAGAGGGAAAGGGAGAGTGAGTGTCCCTGGGTGGTGCAAATAAATGGCTAAGTGCTCAATGACTAGTGGAAAGATTGTGGGTTTGAACCTCCCCAATGGTGCCTCAAAAGACAGGCCTGGCAATTTTCTTCTGAAAGATGGTGGCCTTGAGA